CGCTGTGCGAGAGAGGTTGGACTTCTGGCGACGTTGTTTCTCGCTCTCGACTTGAGAATACAGCAGCTTTTCTTTCTCCTCGGCTTCTTCCGCCTGCTGTCTCCGTGCACTTTCTTCTTTCTCTTGGAGATTTTTCTTAGCTAAAGCTTCTTGGGCGGCACGTTCTTCTTCAAGGCTGAACGCGGTTTTCTTGGCAGCCTTGTCCGAGACAAACTGATCAAGAAAGTCCATGATGGCAGTGTTGACCACGTAGACGATCTCGCTTCCTTGGTTCTGTTTCTGATTGGTGGCAATAATGTCCTCGATTTGCTTTCTGAGGTTGGGGTCTTTTGGCTCGACCTCGACAATATTGATCTTTGGGAGCACCTTTGGATAGTCGCGTGGAAACTCGAAGATGAGTTTAACAAAGTAGTCACGACTTTCGAGCGGGGAGACTCGAACTTGAAAGGCTAAATTCTCCTGAGTCTGTGTGGGTGTCAGATTTCATTCATGATGAGGGTGCGGTTCGGTCCCTTTACCTTCCACGCATCCTTCCTGCCACGAATACGCTGGAACTCGTCAGGATAGATTGCTCTTGTGGTGAGGAACTCGTTACGCTGGACTTCCGGGTAGCCGGCGAGTTCTTCTTCGAAGTTGCGTTGAGACTGTTCCAACGGAGGTGGTGTTGTGGACGTTGGTGGTTGAGGCACAGGAGCCTGCGCCTGTTGATTCTTTCCTTTCTTTTTCGTCGGCATGGCGAGGATTCACTTCAGATCCCCTAGGGGACCTGGAGACCCGCTTAGTATTCGCTATTTCGTGCAAAAGTCTTGGCACGTGACTCCTCTGGAGCGCTTGCCTGGTAGCCGCAGCGACAGCTGCAACCACCTATAACATGTTTCTCGTCCTCATTGTCGTGGGTTTGTTGTTGTGGTTGTTGGAAAAAGAGGAGAAGGATGTGGTGAAAAGGCGTGTCCTGAAGAGTCACGACACAAGGCTCAACAGCCAAGACATTAGCGGGACGGAATTACCTTGTTCCGATATGCCAATTCTCCATCGTCCAACTTGATTCTTGGTATCCTTGCACCAACCGACTCCCTCTACACCGTTTCGGAAACGACGGACAGGGTTTGTCTGTTTGGACGGAAAAAGGACACATATTCTCTTTCTTTGTGCGCCTTTTCAAGTCTTGCCCAGGTCGGCCGAGGGTCACAGAGCTGTCGTATAGCTTGTTCAAAACCTCGCCTTCAAGATGGTCAACATAACGGAGAAGATCAAGGAGTGGGTTGCCTGTGTCTCGCCCAGAGCCGTCTGGAATCTGACTCTTGGTACAGGATCGAGGCCGAAATGGCCCGAACTCAGAGTGGGTTTCAGCAGCTTGTCATAGATGGCCTGGTCCGGTGCTGATTGGGTTGCAGAAAACAAAGCCACAGGTTGGTGCCCGAATGCTTTAGCATCCTGATCTATGCACGCCCTGACAGAGAGTGATCCCCAGAGTATCACCTTGGTTTACTGAAAGGGTAGGTCCAGCATTCTGTTTCTGGAGACACAACGCAAGCAGCGGGAGGAGGAACGGAGGGAAGAAGATGAGGCGAGGAGCGAGAACCTGTGCACGTGCCTTCTGTATATGCACGTGACTCTGTTTTCAGTCTCTTGCGATGCATATTTGAGACTGAGCTTTTGGACAAGGAACTAGGATATGCTTCCTGTTTCGTGAAATATGGCACTACAAGTGGTGCGAAAATGGACGTAGATTGTCGAGCACGAGCACACCTAAGGTTTGCTACTCAGGGGAGGATCGTCTGATGTTTCAGCCTTGCCCCTTTTTCGTGCAACCCCATCTTGTTGTTGTGTCACCTCAGCACCCTCATCTCCCAGTTGGCATCTTATGGTTGCAGCTAACAACAGTGGCTGACTTCTCTGGCTAGCAAACTCGCTCGGCTACGTGCACAACTACTTGAACCAGCCGCGGGTGCCGGCAGTGGTGGTGGTACAGGTTTCGATGTTTCAAAATCAGGGGATGCCCGAATAGCCCTGGTCGGCTTCCCTTCAGTGGGAAAATCGACCTTCCTCTCGAAAATCACAAAGACCAAGTCCGAAGTGGCCGCATATTCCTTCACGACACTCACGGCCATTCCGGGCGTGCTCGAGTATGGAGGAGCAGAGATCCAAATCCTGGATCTCCCTGGTATCATCGAAGGTGCCTCTGAAGGAAAAGGGCGAGGACGACAGGTCATCAGCGCCGCAAAGGTCAGGCGATAAAACAAGCGCCCGTGCCTCCATCTTCAAAAGGCATTTTAGCTGACACTGAGACTGATTTAGACATCCGACCTGATCCTGATGGTGCTCGACGCGACCAAACGCGCAGAGCAACGGGCTCTTCTTGAGGCAGAACTCGAGGCCGTTGGCATCCGGCTCAACCGCGAGCCGCCCAACATCTACTTGAAAGCCAAGAAGGCCGGCGGCATGAAGATCACCTTCCAATCCCCACCCAAGTACCTGGACGAGAAGATGCTGTACAACATCCTACGGGACTACAAGATGCTCAACTGCGAAGTGCTCGTGCGCGACGAGAACGCCACCGTCGACGACTTCATCGACGTCATCATGAAAGACCACCGCAAGTACATCCGGTGTCTGTACGTATACAACAAGATCGACAGCGTCACGGTCGAGTACCTGGACGAACTGGCCCGCGAGCCACACACGGTGGTCATGTCGTGCGAGCTGGACCTGGGCGTCCAGGACGTGGTGGAGAGGTGTTGGCAGGAGTTGCGCCTGATGCGCATCTACACCAAGCGGCAGGGCGTGGACCCGGACTTTAGCGAGGCCCTCATCGTCCGCAGCGGCAGCACGATCGAGGACGTGTGTGACCAGATCCACCGCACGCTCAAGGAGACGTTCAAGTACGCGCTGGTCTGGGGCGCCTCGGCCAAGCACATCCCGCAGAGAGTCGGGCTGGCCCATGTTGTCGCAGATGAGGACGTGGTGCAGGTCGTGAGTGCGTGGAAAGCATAGAGGTTGGTTGGATGATGGCTCGTCGGTGTGTATTGAGCGATCAACCTGTCGGATAAGTGGCACTTGTGTGCTATCTCGTGGCAATGTGGATGGATTGGCCAGGCCAGGCCAGGATATCAGATCACGCACACTACTAAAAGGGAGTTTTCCTGTGATACTTTGTTTGGCAGCCCCTGTATTTGTTTTCGTTCTCATTCATCTCAATGCCCTTCTGGGATCCAGACTGCTCACGTTGGCGCTAACCGCCTTGCCATCAAAAACAAACTCGCTCATCAACTTGCCCGTGCCAGGACCGTTCTGTATCCCCCAACAAGTGTGTCCTGCAGCCATGTAGATGCCCTTGACGCCCGTAGGGCCGACCAAGGGTCCCCCGCCCGTCTCTACCTGCGGCAGATAGCACGCCTGGCGGACCAGCACGGTGCCATCACGCAGCTCGTCCGAGACACTCGCGCAATAGTCGACAATGTCCTGGCAGCGGCTGTCGTCGACCTGGACATCGGCTGTAGACTTGGGCAGGGGCACGAGGTGGTCACCTTCACCGCACGCGTAGACTTCGTTGTTCGGCCGCGCGTAGATCTCCGGCGTGACGTGGCGGGCACGCGACTTTGTGCCCTCCTTAAAGTTCTTGGGCAGCGAGATCGACGTGAAGAGGCAGTATGCGCTGACCGGCCTCGAAGGGCGGATGGTCACGCTGTGAGCGCGCAAGGCACCGATGGGAGATCTGGGCCAGACATTTTTCGTCCACGGCCCGGCAGTGATGATGACATGGTCCGCGCAGAGGCATTTTGCCTCCTTGGTCGAACTGTCCGTGTATTTTACCGCGTGCTCGCCTCCTTCTCGAGACACGATCTCGTCGACGCTGCCCAAGACGACGCGGGCGCCCTTTTCCTCGGCAAGCTTCGCCATGGACGTGGTGAAGTGGTAGGGATGGACCTGCGCCGTGTCGCTCGGAGAGCCCATCGAGTCGTAGGCATTGACGCACTCTTCCGCCACCCAGTCCAGATCGTCCGGGAGTCCCATGCTGCGGAGGTTGTCGTACGACTCTTTGCTTCGTTTCTGGAGACTGACGCGGGTAGGATCGACGTTGCCATCGCTGGCGACATCCGGCCGGTGAATTCCCCTGACATCTTCCTTCTCGACCGCGCCGTTTTCCTGCACTTCGCCATCCACAGCGCCCTGGCGGGCCATCACCTTTTCCTGGCCACTGACAGGCCGGCCTTTCAGATCGATCTGCCCCACGCCCACGCCCCTATATCCCCATCGGTGATCACCCCCGTGTTCCTTTGCGAGTTCGGAATGCAGTCTGAAACTGAGCGGCACCAGGCACGAGGGATAAGCCCACAGGGCCAGCAAGCCACCGGCTTTCCCTGACGCACCACCAGCAATGCCCGTAGCCTCAAGGAGATAGACCGAGTGTAACTCGGGATTGTATTTCGGATGGCGGGTGAGGAAGTACGCGGTTGTGCAGCCGATGATACCCCCGCCCACGACCACTATCGTCTTTTTTTGCTCGGGCTCGGCCATGGTGTTTCTGCAAAAGTATGGTCCCAATGGCAGCAGCCGATGCTGCTTGTGAGGGAAGAGACGGATGGTGGCTAATCGAGGGTTTCCTTGGTGACGGCAAAGGACTGGGTTGCGGGGTTTGCAATCCGGATCTGTCGATGCCAGAGGAAAAGGCCTCGATTCGAGATATTACAGTGCATGAATAATGTCTATGCCCTTCACTACAATTCAGAACGAGATGTAGAAGAATATTACAGACAGAATTCAACGTCTCTGATATGACCTCATACAACCACTGACTTGATGGCGTTACCCCACCAATCACAGCCTCTCAACCTCGTCGTGAGTTCTCTTTACACAAGCCTCAAGAAACACTTTGGAAGAGAGATTGATATCTACCTGTTAGATAAGGACTTGGTTGCAGGCATTATCATCAAGTATAGAATATAAATATCCACATCCATAATATCTCGAATATCTCCTGTATCGCCTTGTCACATGCATCAATCCAGCAGGTCGAGGCTTGACACCTCCTCGTAGGCATTAATATCCTCTCTTTCCACTCCTCGCGATAGCTCGTAGGATAGAACAGTCATATCCATATATGTCAACATGAGCCTGTATCTCCGACTACTTTCAAGGGCTTGCCATGCCTCTGGAGTTGATGGGACTTCCCACTCTCGTGTCTCTGTCCTGATTCTCGCAGATCGTCTTTTCTGAGCATGATGTGACAGACGTTTCCTCTTCGGCCGGTGCTCTTCTGCATGCTCTTCAGATTCTGTGTCAACCTTTAGTAGCTGAGAGCCATCCTCTTCGCCACTACGCCCGTCAACAACAAGCACAGTATGGTCGAATGTGGTGGGAACTCCATCCACAAGCCCGTCTTTGCCCCATTCCGATGACTCGGTCGATCCAGATCGATCTTCGAATCTGTTTCGCATGAAGCATCCTTGAACCGGGGAAGCTGCTATGCCGAGGAGTGGACCAAATGGACGCAGGCCTTTCATCTCTTGTTTTTTGGTTGGTAAAATCCAGCTCACCCGCATTCCCAGTGTGCCCGTCTTCTCGTTTTTTGTCAGTGAACAGACCGCACATCGACCGATCTGTGTAGCAATGACAACAACCCCCAATTCAGGGATTTGCAGCATCATATTGAGTCTGTCAATGTTGGCGTGACTCGAACCCTGTATTAAAGGAGGTAACGCCTGTTTGAGGATGTTGGCACAAAATACATGCGGCGAATCTGCTTCGGGAGCAATGATCAATCTCAAATTTGATACGCTGCAATGAAGAGTAGGTATAATCGGTGGCTTGGCTCTGTAACGGGTTTTGGAAACTTTCGAAGTGCCGCTCTGAGTCGATGGTTTGAGATCTTTGGGTTCCATGTGCGGCCGTCTGCGCAAGGGAGAATCAACATCGGATGCGGACAAGACGTCCACGTCAATCTCTTGGCTGTTCCGCTGGGCGAGACTTGACAATGATGTGGTACTTCGTCGACTCATAGAAGAGAGGTCGATATCCTCAACATCACCCGAATCAGAAGAATAGTGTACTTCCTCTTTCTCGCTCTCTCCAGATTCGCTATCGGCGTCCTCGAATCGCATGTATTCGAGCGATAGAGTGTCTCTCTGTGGTGTTGTAGGTCCGTCATCAATACTGTGAGATCCCGGATCGGACCCAGAAACAGAAGTGGCCTCGCTGTTGTCCGACACCGGGGCGACCTCTGGTTCTCCAATGACTCCTTCATCATCGTCCGGAGATCCGTCAACAGAGTCTTGACCATACGTTGGAAGCAGACTCGCATTGAGCTCAGCTCGCTCGGCATCAACGCTGGCTTCGTCCATGTCAGACCAAGAGTCAAACGTCTCCCGGATATCTTCCACATCCTCGTCGTCCTCCATACCTTCATACATGAGAAAGTGTATATGACCATTGCTAGGCGTGCGGAGTCGGACAACATTAGTCAGGTCGTAGCTTTCCAGGTCATTATGCCCATGGTACTGAGGTACCTTGGAGTAACCGCAAAATTGCTCCATCGTCCGAGCTGGCCGAAATGCACGCGGGTCCAGGGCAGCAACAAGCCAGCCTCCTTCTCGCCTCCGGTAAGTGGATGCTCGCATGCTTCTCTCAGAGAAATCCCAGGATTTGTGGCAGAGACCTTGCCATATTTGCCATATCTTCATGTCACCATTGATATCGGTGCTCAACAGCCAGTTCCCTTCCACGTCATCATCTGTGTTCACAAAAGAAATGCAGGGGATGTTATGGTCATGCCCTTCGATGCCCGCGAGAGTGATTTTGTAATTCTTATTGCGTGGTGGAGGGGTGGCATCGACACCTATCGCAAGCCATTCTTGCCAATCCAGCTGTTTAGCGTGCTGGGAAACCTCGTAATCATCGTCGGACATTTGGTCCTCATCATCTCTCCCGTCATTACTCGTGTCTGTCAAGGCAAAAGCAAATACGGTTATTTTAGCACAAGGATCAGCGTCTGCCACATGATGGGGTGTGTTGGCCGACACCGCAATCATTCGGGCATGCGTGTGTATTGCAAGGCCCCAAGCAGATTCATAGACCCACTGCGTGAAGAAGGGCCCGAGTCCGACGTACTCACTCCGAGCATCCGTGCTGAAGCGGTACGGCTCCTTGCGAATGGCTTCAGAGATGGAGTGGGTATAATAGGCAGAAATATTGCCGGAATCGGTTGCAATGAGAAGAATCTCCTCCTTCCCCAGGTCTCCCACCACGAGGTGATTGATGGCATGAGGAAATTGAGAATCAATATAGCCATCCGCATCGGGATTTGCCAGCGCAGGCACAATGAGCAGCGCAGGCAGTCTGTGAAGTTTCTGGAAGGGAAAGTCCGGCCTGTAGACAGCAACGGTGTCTCTGGTTGCCACAAAGTAGAGATTAAAGCGTTGAGACAACGCAGTCAAATTGTTTCGCCAGTAAGAGAGCGGTGGAAGGCATGGTACTCCATCGCGCAGGAACCTTTCAGCTCCCGTCTCGATGCTCGTGAGACCAATGTTGACCGACTCGAAAGGCCGGGTATCTTCGTCCATGCTCCTGTCAACGGCCAACGGCTTTCATCAATAGATCCCTTTGTTCATTTGCAGTCTCTTGTAACCATTCAAGACATGACGGAACGCATGATCACTACCTAGTACGCGCGTGTACTCTTTTTATCGCGGATCTAGAGGGGTTTGAGCTCGTCCGGAGGAGGTTCAGAACCGAGCAGCGAGTGACGGCGTAGGCGCATGAGCGCAGGTAGATTGGGAGGAAGACTTTGGCTCACTTCAGCTTGCCTGCAACTCACCGGTAGATGTCAGCAACTGTCGTGTCTGCACCCGAAGGTTACGAAGAGGGGAATCAGACGAGGTAAATAGGTTGGCCAGCAACTTGTCAGTTGTATGTATTGCAATTAATGAACCTGAGTGAAGGGCAGATTGACAGCTTGGAGATTGAATACTTGCCGTGGTACGGAGCACATGAGTGGCACCGGCGGAGTGACTGAAAGATGACGCATTTGTAGCGCAGGGGGGGTGGAATCGAATTAATGTTGGCTCATCCACGCTCATCCTACGAAGTCTACATACATGACTTGGTATCTCACATTTGTTGTTCGGTGCTTTGTCTTCCTCCTTGCTTGAACACGTCCACTTCCATCCACCCACTGCCATCGCATCCGAGCTGGTCTAGCTGAGTAATTCGCACGCCGACACCTGCATTTTCTGATCGAGGTTGGCAACACAGAACGTATCGATCCGGAAAGAATTGCATACGCGACCAGCCGACTCTGCGACGGCTCGACTCATCCCCTTGTCACGTTCTGCAATCCTGGACGCCACATACACCCCCGGCCCCCTGTACGCGACTTATCACCCCGTTGATCAGCGTGCGAGAGTAGTCCACCCTCCGCAGATGGCTGTCTATTGATCTGAGCCGTCACAATTGTCCCAGTACATGCCGCGAGCGGTGTCGACTGGTGGTTACACAGCATAACGCTACCGAACACTGGTGGACCTCCAACCCCGAATCTCATTTCTCACCCACAATTCAGCCAGACGTTTTCTCCATCTTTGACAGTGACATTGTCTCTGCCAGCCTTGGCCTGGTACAACTATGGATTTGCTAGCTACTGTCAGAAAGGAGGGGTCGCGAGGGGGTCGTGGAGAGTTCAAGTGGTCTGATGTTGAAAGCTCTTCCCACCGTGAGAATTATCTGGGCCACTCACTGATGGCCCCTGTTGGTCGTTGGCAGAAAGGCCGTGACCTCACCTGGTATGCTAAAGCAGACGGTGATGCCCAAGGTGACGAAGATGCTGCCGCCAAAGCTGCAAGAGAACGTAAAGAGGAGATTCAGAGAGTCAAACAGGCCGAGGAAGATGCACTCGCCCGCGCTCTTGGTCTGCCAGTGCCCGAACGGAACAATCCAAACATGGATGAGCTGGGGGCTCGACGTGAAGTTGACCACGCTTTGAAAGAGGCTGCAACTGGCGAGGACATGGCGTCTTCCAGGGGTGTTGGTTATGGGCGAATGGCAGGGGTCTCGGCTATGAATGAGGGGAAATCCAGCACTACGGAACGCCTCGAAGGCACCGTTACAAATCAGGAAAAGGAGCTCGACTATGCGCTCAAGGAATATAGGCGTCGTCATGGCGACCGAAGGCACCGAAGCCGGAGTCGCAGTGGCCATCGGCACCGAGACAGCCATCACAGAAGATACCGGGAAGACCGCCATCGACATAGGGAGCACCGATCCCGGTCCCCACGGCGGAACAGGTCTGACCGTGTGAGATCACAATCACCCTCGCAAGCCCGAGAACGTGATCATCATCGCCGAGCGCGATCGAGAAGTACCTCTCGATCCAGACGGCGCCGCGAAGCAGATCGGGGCGACAGGGACAGAGACCACGACCGAGGCGAACGACGCTGAATTCTGGACACTTGAAAGCACACAGGAGGAACTTTCGACTAAGCTGGGATCAAATACAAGCAACTACCCCAGGTCAAATCAGACTATCTCAGCCCCAATGAAGCATCGAAGATGTCACCCTCAAGATCCTTGATGTCCACGTCTACGACACTTGCTGCACGCCCCGACCCACCAGCACCCTGCCGGGCGAAAATATCGGCTGATGCACTGGTGTCTACAAACTCCTCCAGTTCCTCGCTCACAGTTTTCAGCTTCTCCTTCACGCTAGCCACGCCCTCAATGCCGACAATGTGACGGGCGGGCGGGTTTTCATGACCACCAATAGCCGTTAATGCATGGACAGTCTCTGCAATTAGTTTTTCTGTGTGCGCGTGACTGAGAGGGGGATACAAGCTGACAACCTCGTCACGACTGAGCAGGTATGGGCCGCTCTGCCTCTCCGCTTCTGACGAAGGCGACTGAATTTCGGTCTCCGGCGGAGGAGGATACTGGGTACGAATACCAGGGAGGCGGTTCAGTAGGCCGTCCAGGATGCCTCGAAATATTGGAGCCGTGTGACCAAATTCTCGGGTATAGGCCTTCATTGGTGGCGCTGAAGTGATCTTGTTGGTCAAGATCCCGATCTCGACACTTGCTTGGACGATGGTTAATTTAATGTTAAAAGGCGCAATCTCATAAGCGATGCTGTCACAAAAGCCCTCCAGCGCCCACCCTGACGCACAGTACATGCTCAACCCTGGTGTTCCGAGATGACCTGTGATGCCGGTGAGGGTAATGATGTGACCATTCATCTGTGAGCGCATCTGAGGGATGACAGCCTTGATGATATTCATTGGGCCGAAGAAATTCTTCTCAAACTGGTCTCGAACTAGCGTCAGGGTCCTTGAGCTGGCGGAAAGCTCTTCCACTGTCCCAATCACTGCTTCACTGGTACAGCAAAAGAGTATGTCGATCTTTCGAAAAGTATGCACGGCTTCCGCAACAGCCGCCTGACACTGTCCAACAACCCTGTCTGCGAGTCAATTCCAGCGACCTTGTTGGGGACAGATACAAGTAGAACGCGAATCGTAAAATAGTATCTTGCAAAAACGCTGAGTTGCATACCTAATATCCAGGGCCACAACCTTGAGCCGCTCTTTCATTCCCGGTGTCCGTCCCACTTGGGACAGAAACCTCTTGAACTCTTGACTCCGAGCCCCGTCATTCTCGAACTCGGCTTGGATGATACCGGACACCACATAGTCGCCATGGTCAAGCACCTGGCGCGCAACCGAAATGCCAATTGGAGAGTCTCCCGAGGTCAAGAGCCAAACTCGAGGAGCATTATGGGTAGGAAACTGGGGCACCGAGCCGCCATTTGCCATGGATGCGCGCGACGTGAGTTGGACTGATCATTGCGTCCTAGGACGCCATATGCGGGTATCTCTTCGGAAATGATTGCAGCTAGCAATTGAGGGCACAGGTCTGGTCGATATCAGAGGAACAAAAGTCGTGGTCAAGAATGCCGGGTTTATTGGCTCGAATGATCAAGTCACAAATCAATGCCAAGGCCGCTCTCCCACCGGATCAACTAAATTCCGCACACCCCACGGCCGAACTGCGGCGGCCCACATCGAGCGAGCCAACCTCTCGATCGCGCAATAGAACTTGGTCTGCCACTCTGTCAAAGCAGAAGAGCGCTGTCCCCTGCTCTATATCTATTGTCAGTGGCTCTGACAATTCAAGATGCCGGAGCCTAGAGGTAGCGGCGCCCCTGCCGCACGAGAGGAACAGGGGGGAAAGGTGAGAGCGTTCAATGGTCGGCATGCATTTGCAACGAGTCCTAACAGATGAGTAGTCGATGTTTCAAACGGTTATACAAGGTCTCGCCATATTTATGCTCACGCAGTTTGTTGTGAACAATTTCTTTGGATCCAAGTCGACCTCTGGCGGAAGCGCCGCCGCGCCCAAGCAAAATGCCAACTTCGATGAAAGAGCCGATGTGACCGCCCTCACAAACTATTCCCTCATCCCTCAAAACATTGCTCCGATATGGCCAGACAACAGTGTCGTCGATATCCGAATGTATGTGTCTGCGCAGGACACCCTTCCTGCCCTTTCCGCTGTGCCGAAGGAAAGCCTCGTCCTGGAAGAGAAGAACTTTGGGATCGGAAATTACGATGAAAACCGAGAGGTGCATACGCAGATTGCCATCCCGACAGAGGTACAACACAACGGGACGTTATGGGCTCATTTCTATCTCGCCTTGGCTGGCAGCGAGTTTGACCCAACAAGTCCCAACTACGACCCGCATAAAGCCACTCACTTTAAAAGACCGCTGAACCAGTTCCTCCCGAAGAAAAAGGCCCGTAAGTTGAAGAACCTGCTCGAGAAAAGCGACGAGCCAAAAGAAGAAGAATCGGAAGAACCGCAGGGAGTCCAAATTGGCTCTTACTACCACCCCAACTTCACGGTCGCTGTGATCCCGAACACAGGCGTGCAGAACTGGCGCCAAATGCATCCAGCGATACGCAAGAATATTGTCCTCGAACCGACTGGTCAACGTGATGCATCGGGCCAAAACGGGTGGTATTATCCCGTCGTCTTCCTCAACACCTTCTGGCAACTACGCAGTCACATGACCGAACTCAATGAAACCGTCAAGGAAATGCCCCTCAACATCCAGCTGTACAACTTGGCCAATTGGAAATACAACCTGTTGGCGTCTATCGACGAGGGCATGAAACAAAACCAGGCACAAGCTGCGAACGGTGCGCCCATGCCGGGTGGTGGGGATGGCAGCGAGTTCGAGAAATTCAAGGAAATCCTCCTGGACACAAATGCCTATTTATTGGGGACAACGTTCGTCGTCAGTATCCTGCATATGGTCTTCGAAGGCCTGGCATTCAAGAATGATATCTCTCATTGGCGAAGCAAGAAGGATAACGTGGGCACATCTGTGAGGACAATCCTTGCGAACGTGTTCATGCAGGCCGTCATCTTCTTGTACTTGATGGACAACTCGGAGAATACCTCCTGGATGATTCTTGCTTCCCAAGGCTTCGGCATTCTCCTTGAAGCCTGGAAGATCACCAAGACCGTGGATGTGCGCCTTCGCGAACCCGGCCCGGACTCGAGGTTCAAGAACATATTGCCTTACGTGGTTGTGTTTGAGGACAAGCACAAACTGACGGAGAAAGAAAGGCAAACGCAAGAATATGATCAAATCGCCTTCCGATACTTGTACATTGTGGCCGTGCCACTGCTGCTCGCTTACGCGGTGTACAGTCTCATCTACGAGTCGCACAAGTCATGGTACAGCTTCGTGATCGAAACATTGGTGGGGTCAGTTTATGCCTACGGATTCCTCATGATGGTACCTTCCCTGTACATCAACTACAGGCTGAAGTCTGTGGCACACATGCCCAGCAAGGCTCTGACATACAAATTCTTGAATACGTTTATTGATGATCTGTTCGCGTTCACCATCAGAATGCCGATTTTGCACCGTCTGGCTACGCTGAGAGACGACGTCATCTTCTTTGTGTGGCTATATCAGAAGTACAAGTACAAGGTGGACTATTCGAGAGTCAACGAGTTCGGACAAGGTGGCGAGGAGGAGGAGGAGGAGGAGGAAGGAGAAGGAGAGAAGAAGGAGGACGGCAAGACGGCAAAGTCGCTCCAAGGCCAGGACACCAAGGAGCTGAAGCCCTCGGCTCCAGTTTCGAGTGCGACCGGAGCCCAGGCCAACGCGGGCGCGAAGAAGAGAAAGTAGGCGAGCGCGTATTGATCACCTTTTGGATAGCAAGGTATGGCACGGGACCTGAGTCGCATTTCAGAAGAGAGACGAAAAGGGAAAAAAGCAAAAGGACAAAGCCGACAAAAGTTTTGAGAGGGATATATAGAGAGGGTGAGCGAGCGAGAGACATATCGGCAGACAATGTCAATGACAACAATCCTTTTGGAGCAAAGCCCGACCTTGGAAGCCCCTTTCTTCCCCATTCTCCAAATCGCCGTGATATGAGAGCCGAGTGTGCCCATCTTCCTCTCCCTTTCCCACCCTCTTAAGTACCTGCTGTAAGTGCACATGTAGGCACATGTATGCATTGGAGGTGAGTACGCGTACATACGACTACGACTACAGCGATGCGATAACAAGGACCAAAGAGAAGAAGAAAAATTACTTTGCAACTGTACAAGCGCAGGAAGGAGAGAGAGAAAAGAGAACAAACAAATCCTTGATATTTCGTAAAATAAAAAAACTCCGTATATAGATAACCAGACAGAACAGGAGCCTCACAGACTTGTTCTAGAGGAATATATTCCCCAGGCCCGAAAGCACCGCCAGGAACGCCACGCTGTACACACTCGGTCGCAAAAGGGTGGAGGCGGTGGTGCCGCTCAGATAATACGCCGCGCCCAAATAGCTGCAGCTGATGACGCCGGCGGATCCGTTGACTCGTTTGCCGTAACTATCCTCCAAGCCCTTTCCTCGCAGGGGACAAGCGAATCCCAAACTCGCAGGACAGCTCTGCACGAGGTCGTAACACAGGTCTTCGCACGGTAAGACTTCCTTGTACGGTCCCGGTTGGATGGACGTGTCGATGAGCGGATTGCGTGAAGAATTCGTGGCGACGGCATCGAGAGAGGCCGGCTTGACATTGAATTGTGACGGGTCAGATGTGATGCTCGAGCCATTGATGAACGGCTGGCCTAGATTTCGCGGTTTGAGAAACGAAGCCGAGCTTGAAAAGTCGGCGCAGCGGGGAATCGTCACGGCGCAGAGCCATTGCTTGTATGCCCGAGCACAATCGTCGCAGTTGCGGGCCAGAGAGTACTGAGCGCTGGAAGTGGTGTTACACGGGATTTGTTGCAAGGAGTAGTTGAAGTATTGGTACATTTGAGCCGCGTAAGAGTCGTATAACGCGGCTAGGTCTGGAAGGCCTGTCTCTGGCGAGAATTTGTTCGGGTTGCTGGGGACAGCGTAGGCCACTTCTGAGCAGAACGAGAGGTTGTACATCAGCCGGCAATTGTTGTCGGTCTTGGTCTCGAATTCCATGGCTGCCCAGACGGTGCCACCTCCTCCCACCACGCCGGCGCCCGAGTCTGTGGAGTTGCCTTCCATGACCAGCATACCCCAGTATTTGGAGGTGGCGTTGAGACCTGTGATGTAGAACTGCTCTTTCGGCTTGCCACCCAACCCTCTGTTGGTCATCTGGGCGACATTTTGGTTGGTGATGTTGTCGATATTCACTGTCAGTCGGGCGTTGTTTTTTAAGCCGCAGAACGATTTCTGAATCCCAAGAATTTCCCGCTGGTTCTGGTTCGTTGCAAAGACACCCCACGGAGGACTCAGTTTCATCCATTCTTCATAGATTGTCTGGTTGGGAAGAGCCTGTGTTGTGTCATTTGTAATCAGCAGCGCAGCATGATTGTCCCCGTCGACGAAATACAGGTTCTTCACTTCCGGATCCTCGAACCCGTGGAAAGGCGCATCGATCGACGCAGCAATGTTGTAATTCCAGATGCCAGAGAATTCCGTGGTGTTGGGGGCAGAGATCCCCACGTACACATCACTGTCGGCGTCCGCCTCAAAGATGGCATACCCGCCATCAACTGTAATCGTCTGTTGGTCCGGATCACCGGTTCCCGGGCCTGGTTTCTGGTTTGACTCGGACAAGGAAATGTACATCTGCAATTGGGGAGGTATTGCGTTGGTCGCATTAGGCGAAGGCTGCAGACATGTGTTGAGAGTGATGTAGACTTTGTTTCCCGTCTGTCGTTTTCTAAGTTCGTGCCGTTCCAGCAGTAATTCTGTATCCTCAACCTTTGCGCCTGGTAGACCGACCCCAGGTGTCCCATGCGGTCCATTTATTGCATCTCTTGGAAATACCCAGTTCTGGGTCTGGCCAATCTCGATGTTACTGCTCGCGGGGTCGTTGTTGGCAAGCGCTGACACTCCCACTTCAGCGCGCACTGTTATTCTAGATTCCTCCGTCTCTTGCCCTTCATCCCTGTCTTGTATAACGTAAAAGTTGTGGTCTTCAGAAGATATCCGAGAGGAGTCAGCCTCCAGGGCGTATGCAAAGGATGGTTTCGTTAAAGTTAGATAAAGCAACAACAGCACGACCGACGCAGAGAGGCATGCTGTAAATCTTGCTTGTAAAGGGGTCAACTTGATAAGCGGCATGTTGAAAGTCCCGCTTTGACTCGGTGCCGGAACGAGAGAAGGGGGTGTAAAGGAGTGCTAAAGGGACATTGTAACGGGTGTTACAGAACTGCACATAAGGCTTAGAGAGGAGAGACTTTACTATTCGATCGCAAATGGTGAAATGAGTGACGGGCAAGACTGGCAGGATTGGACATTGAGACGCGGACAGTCGTCTTGGAGGGGGCGCAGTTAACAAATCGGTCAGAGCAGAGCCTCGCACAGCCTTGTTCAGCCTCGCCCAGCCTTGCTTCAGCCTTGCGACCCCCCTTGCGGGGGCTTCTTCTTCCATTCCGATATTGTGGCTTCACCACCATCCACCTCGTTTCTTGGGTTTTGTCAACCCAACTCACAATATCCCCGGCAGGGTCTTCAGTTCAATCATTAGAGAAAAATGACAGTGCCAGGATCCGACCACAGTCTACAAGGGTACATGTCTCTCCCGCAAAAGAAATAGCCCTCGGGGTTGCGCAACTGGCAAGGCTACATCACCGTCGCAATTCGCAATGGCAGAGACGTGTGAGCACAAGCCAGTTATCGGCTGCGCTCTGACCGCTGTACCTGGTTGCTGCGCCTGCGCGGACAAAAGACCTCTCGTAAGACCTTTCGCGGCATCTCTCGGTGTTTGCCGACAATTCAAATGCCGCCCCTTCCCATCCATGATGGCTTCTACTAATATCACCGCAGGCAACTGCTTACCCTCTCTACATTGACGGTCAAGGCATGAGACTTCAAGGCAAGCGCTGGCAACGCTACTGCTGGAAGTGTCGTGGTACGTCCATCGACCATTTTCTTTCACTTTGTGGTTCTCCTCTCCGCGTTATTGGCATCACATTCCAACTATCAAGTCCCTCGCTCATTAGCATATTGTTAATCTGCATGATAAGACTACTGGGATCTACACACTCAGTCTGAGATACATCTGTCCTTCTCTTCCAACCTTCCCGCTCCCCATGCTGCTGTTCCACCGGACCAGACCCCAGTTTCACCAGGCGACGGCATGGACCTTCCGCGGAACAATCCCTTCTCGCTCTCCAATTCCCAACAGCAGTCCTGGTCTTTTGACGGGGTCAACGATGGCCAGTCACCCACCGCTGAAGGCTTGCCTTTATATGCGTCAGGGTCATCCTACACTACCGCCGGCACTAGCCAACCCACAACCGCTATGACACCGCGTGACTTTGATATGAACGGGGCATTGCACTACATGGCGCAGGCCCGACAAAACCGGCGAGCAAGACCAAACCATAATACCCAGCCAGGTGAGCGTCATCCGCATCTCAGAGCACAGAGAACGTTGGCCCACCCACGGAACGAACCCGGCAATTCAAACCCATCGACCCAAAGGAGGCCAAGAGCCGTTACAAATCCATTCGGCACCCGCGAGGAAATCGAGTCCGAAAGCTACCAGAGCCCCATCACCGCTATGTTCGGTCGAGCATGGAACCGCTATAGACAAGCGGAAGAGCAGAGATCATCTCTGGAGAATGAGCCCATGGGTGTGCAGGAGACGCGAGGAGAAGTTGCACCCAGCATTCTGGGCAGCGGGCCGCCTCGAACTGGAAATTCAGAGCGACAGGTTGACGCTATCTGGAATTACATGCGGCGGCAGGACGATCAGCAATTATTCGAAACCTTTAGAGAGTCGTTACAGTTACGGGATGCTCTCGGACGTGAGCAAGACAACCCACATACACACCCACCAGCCAATCCTATTGACTCTCAACCGCAACGACCACGTGCGCTGCAGCCGGAGGAAATGACCGTTAATATCGCTTGCAGAATATGTTGTGAGCAGCTGGTCGACACATTGTTGGAGCCTTGTATGCACGTCGCGATTTGTCACTGGTGCTCAGATTTGATACTTGAACAAGTCCGTCTGCATCGTTCGATGCGCCACCGGCCGAACGGCGACGACTCGAGGTGGAGATGTCCCCTTTGCCGTCGTCCAGTTGCACGTGCAAGGAGAGTATATTTGGGTTGAGACTCCAGCGCCAGACCAAGGTGTAGTCTTGGCTCTTGATTGAGGCCGGCGGCTGCGAGAGCCTATCAAAGTCTGGCCAAGAGCGATGAACACGTTCATGCGCGGCTGGCTTCGCAGTACGGGTGATTATCATGTTGGAGATTCTTGTGCGAGTGATGTGAGCACGGAAGTTTGGCAGTGCATCTTGAGCGGATTCTGTTGAGCTTGTGTGTTAAGTGCATCTTGTTACTCGATATAGATGAGCCAAAAGATTGTCTTGTCGGCATTAGTCTCGATATAGATATGCCAATTGAGGTCTCGGCAGCCACTTGTCCGTTGACATCAGATTGTATTTGTCTGTACGCACATATCTGCCAGCCCAAAACCAACGCCGATCTCGGGGATCGTGTGCCTCTGAGCTGACCAGAAAGAGGATGGGTTGTTACGAAGAGTTCGGAATGCAATGCGTGTGTAGCATGGCCAAAAGGAGAAAAGGAATTACAGGGCTTCTGAAAATACGATTGATGGGAGGTATCAAGGGATGGAGGGGATGAAGGGATGAGAATAGGGAGTGAATCTGCTTGATTTTTTTTCAAGTATTCTT